CCATATCTATCATACTGAACAAAACATATCAAACTAACAAAGGTTACGGAAATTAGTTCTCTCAGCTTTTTGTCTTTCGCCCTGAAAATTGTTCTGTCTCAACTCCAGTAGAAGCAGGCGCTGCGGCCTTTGGGGCTGGGAGAGGAGATGGAGTAGCCTGGTGCAATAGCTTTTGCACCAAGACATATGCCTGCCTCTCCTATAATCATACCAATGCTCACTCCATAAAGAATGCTTAATGCATTCACCAATGTTACATTCAATCTGCATCAATAAGCACTCATAGACACTTCCACTATTCATACAACCGTCAGCCATTTCACAACGAGCATGACATTGTTGCCGTGATTGTAGGGAGTATTCACTACAATATTTGCAGTAAACATGAATTATTAGTGCGTTGTACCTCTGAAAGACTACTGTGGGGTGCATCCTTAGAACCCCACAGCTGAGTATAACGAGCCGGAAGGCATCAGTTGATTGACACCCTCGAGTAAACTGTTACAGACACTCATGCCTACCATGTGATACAGCAACCCAACAAAACTAACGAAATTTAAAGAAGCTTTTCTTTTCTTGTTTTTTTCTCTCAAACCTATTCTGTTCTGCAACCCCACTAAAGCCGGTACTGCGGCCTTTGGGGCTGGGAGAGGAGAGAGCGTAGCATGCTGCAACACCTTTTGCATCAAGTGTCAAGCCAGTATCTCCTATAGTCATGCCAATGTCTCTTCGAGAACAATATAATACATTCATCACTTTTTTACTCAATATACATCAATAAGCACTCACAGAGATTGAACCCTCACTCATGCACAACGAGCACGGCATTGTTGCCGTGATTGCAGTGACTATTCACTAATGGAGCTTGTAGGCATTATGAACAGGCTATGGAATGAACATCTGTTGAATCGTTCCACAAGAACTAAGATGTACCAGATCCCTTTAGAAATCGGAAGGCTCTGCAGCCCCTTTAGTAATCAGAACAGCCTGCATGGGTCCAGGTATGAGGGTGTTCTTCGGCTTTAGCTACTGGGATTCCACCAAAGTGGAAACAGCTTCCTCGGATCCCCCCTTGCATTGTTCCACTGATGGCCCCCCTTGTCTGCTAAGGTTGTGCCGTGCACTTGTCGTCGTGTAGAAATTCTGACCAAAGGTGGATCGTATAAACGGCGTAGTTCGGTCTTCGGCAGGTACTAAAAGCGATCTCCATCTATGTTGTACTGCTTATCCCATCGCCCGCTGCTTAGCTGAGGAAGAACCGCAGTAGTGCGAGTATCTAAGAAGAACAACGCACAACTACGGTGTTTGTCGGATCGTTTCTTCGTTCCTTGTGTAGTGGAGGATGCAAATGTTGGGAGCGCCAGGGTGAGCACTCTCTCCTTGCTTCATAGCAAATAGACCGCAACAGTCTCTTCTGGGTGTTGCACCTGAGAAACTCCTTGTAACGCACAGAGACTGAATAGCACCCTCAGCGGCTACACAGGACGCCAGTCGGTAGCTCTCTAGGCATTCAACATCTCCGTCACTTGGGCTCCCAACCACAACCGATTCGTGTGATAGCTTGCACTGATGAGATCATGGGGGGTTCCCGTGCCCCTTAAACAGTAGGGTCTGTGAGGAGTGTGGAACGGTGGAAGAAACTGCGGGTTAGAAGGCATGCTATTGGTGACTGAGTCCTCAGTTATTCATCTTGAATCAAGCGCAGCATAGAAATAAGTTCATAACCGTCAAGTGGGTAATTGTCGGTTACCATGGCAGGTCCTTATGAAATACCTCCTTTGGCCAGCACTGCAGACGATCTTGGCCTGGGGAGCAGCCACTGTCTCCAAACCGCAAGGTGCAAATAGTAAATTCAAGGCGCTAGAACCAATCAAGCTGAGCCGTACATTTGTAGCTAAGTGAATAACGCAGAAAGCTTAAAGTCTCAGGAAGAGTTTCCGCAAAACATTTATGTCATTGGCCTAGGCATGTTGCTGCCTTTGCCCAATGCTGCGGCTTGGGAAGATACGTAGCCCGCAAATGCTTGGAGCCAGTACCGCCACAACCCCACCTTTTGTTGCTTGGTGCAGTTTATTTAACCCCCGTATATACTCAGTCAAGTCCCAAATTTAATACTGAACATATTGCAGTCCACTACTCTATGTTAAATCCCCTGTGGTGCCAACGGCGTCTAAGACTATACCGTGATGAGGTGCTCCAATCTCGACGCCCCATATCATTATTTTATGGTACAATTCTGGGGAGATCGCTTTTCTCTCTCACCATTTTACCGATGTTCGTGCCTTGTATGCTAAGGAGAAAAGGTATTCGCAGATCATCCACGATAGAGAAGCACGTTGACGATATCCGCCGTACCTTCAGATACCAGTTCCACCTACCGCCGCATCTAGTGAATACTTACTTATTATTTACAAAACCGGAGGCTATTTTTATGACTACAGGATAGGCTGGTATGAAACGTGGTGCAGAAAAAAACTTACTTTAACCTTTGTTCGTTTTTTGTTTGTATAGGGTTTAGGGTTTAGGGTTGCTTGAGTTTCCGCTTGAACCTTTGTTTGTATCTCGGTGAGATGCTTGAGTTTCCGTATCTTAGTGGAGTTACTTGACAGTGTTTACATTAAAGTGTAATATTCTTTATTAACGTGAACGAGATCACGTTACACACATATCGGCCTAGTTTACAGGGCTGAATAGCTGGAAGCTTCATTCGCGCTTGAATACACTCCTGATCCTTAGCCAAGGAGTGCCCTGGTACCTATAAGAGCCAATATACTTATGGTGAGTGTTACTGAAAAACGGTTAACATATGCTCCGATATTCAGCAGTCCGTGGCACAGTTTCAGAGGTTGCGGAGAGGTAACGGTGTGTCCTGAGTTGCAACACTTCCTCCAGCAGCTATTCCCTCGAGACAACAACACGTAGAACCATACCAAAACAGATTTTAGAGAAATGAAGTCACACCCCATATCATTGTTTAACACTAGCTTGGCTATCCCTCATGCAACCAGAGTGCTCTGTCTTATCTGATTTCGCGTTCTCCAAAAGCCGCTGGCGTCGTCTCCAGTCATCAGGCGGCCTGCGACCCGTAGGCCAAGGGTCTGAAACCGGTGAAAAGGAGATGGCCTAACACGAGTTGCAACGTAGCCTGCTTCGACCCGAGTTGCCACGAAACTCCAAATGTGTAGCGTTGTTTGTGTGAAATTTGTTTGTATATTCCTACTTGAGGGCAGGTTGGATACTGGAGCCCAGATTTGTTCTCAACAACCTCACATGGCCCTGGTGCATGCAGAAATAGGGTTTGATTCTGCAAGCATGTGAAGTTGAGTTGCAGCACAAGTTGCAGCAGGGTGCGTTGCAATTCGTGCCACCTCCGTTCCCCTCGGTCCATGTCCTTAGGCCGCCAATCCCAGGCTTTCCGGTGATTGGGGAGAAGGCCAGATCCTTTTTTGGAACTCTTGTACTGAGCTGTCGATCCTACTGCAGCTCACAACCGTCCACAGATAAGACGGAGGACTCACGTTATAACATACATCTAGGGAGGTCGGCGTACAGTTAGCACAGGAGCATTCATTTGCCGTTGGTAGGTTACCTCCAAGTACATACAAACGCCCAATAAGCGTATACAGAGGCAACACATGAACATAAGAAAGCTTCAACAAAGCTTCATTTACTGCATATGTGAGGCTGGCTTGCATCGCCAGCCGCAGCGAGGTACGCAGCAACTCCAGTTAGGCTGCTTCCTCACTACAACACCCAGGCCCTGATATCAGCGCCCAGGACACCTGGGTACAGGAGAAGGATGCCAGCTGCTTTTGGAAACTGTTTGCCTTCATCGCAGCTCGTTTCTGGCCTTGCCTCCTTCACTGCAACCCGTTTCCGTCCTTGACCAGGGCCAGAAACCTAGCGTTATAAAAACGTTATAATACATGCATACACAAACTTTATTGCTGCATGCACCAACATTCTAGACGATTCTTGAGCACTTTATTGGTCTCAGTGGACCGCCTGCACGCAAGTAGGGATATACACGCCAACTTTACGCAGACGACGCTGCAATGGCATAGTTCATGCGGTTCTACTTGCATAGAGACTTGCCATTGCCTACGGTAGAGTAGACATTGGTAAATCTACAAACTCGTATACTGTGCAGCACAGAGGAAACAGCACGGAGCCAAATAAACCAACCTGCGCGAAAAAAAACCAAAATTTGAAGCGGGACTTTCCAAGGGCCTGCAACGAACAAGCGTTGCCGTCTCAGCGTGGAGAACCCGTTCTGACAATTTATCCGGGTATTATACAATATGCGTTCTCTTGAAATGTTAAAATTTGTATCGAAGCGCCGGAGGATGGGAAGTTAAACTATACGTATTGCATTGAATGGCCCAGCGAAGCCGACAGGAGTTCAATGGCTGCAGGCGGCAGCGCCCAGTACCCTTCGTGTCTAGGCGGCGCTGTGCTCATTTCTTTTGAAATCAAAGTAAGAATATAACTAGGTGATACCATAGAATATTTCAACGTGATATGGGTGGAAACGGTAGATGCGACGCAATGTTGTGCGTACTGTTGCAAGCAATGGCGCATCTCACAACCCCACGTGAGAGCAGGAGAGCATTGGTTTTCTTGGTGTGTCTGGGACTACTATCGCCTTAAACACAATTACCGTGATATATTTTGCTAATTTATATATAAATAATAATTTAACAGCTATTCTTTTTTTTTTGTACGTCGGTTCTGTGAGCAGTGTCACCTCCTTCGTGTGTGCGGCGCACCCACGATAGGGGAGCGATAACCAGTCGCACGCCGCCTCAGTCGGTGATCCCAGGTGTCGTTGTGTGTCTCATATGCTCGNATTTGTTTAAACGCACTTGCATCAATTTAACGAATTATCTTAATAACTTACGACAATATTACGTCGGATAATTGTTGTGTCGCGTCTCATCTCTGCTAAGCAGTGTACACTTCCGTGACCGTTCACCTAGTAGGCAGCTGTCTGGGCGAAAATGTCGCGTCGTCTCTTGATCTCCCTTTGCTCCGCGGCTCTTGCCGTCGCTTCGGTGGAAGCTGAAGTTGAGCGGGTCCAAAATGGGATGCTCGAGACCCAAGCAGGCCTGGAGGGTCAAACTTCCCTAGGTGTCCAAGAGGCTTCATTGCACCGCAAAGTCGGCGGTCGCATGACGCAACCCGTCATGCTGGTGACTCTTATGGCAGCTCTCCTCGGTTTAGTGTTCGTTGTTGTTCAATGCGTCAAGAACATCGGTGGCCACCAGAAGGTGGAGTCGAAGCTGGTTCTTAGGAGGCTTGCCGCAGGCGGAGAAGATGATCCTTGCTCTGTAAGTTGTGAAACATTTCTCCCTTATTGGGGTAGAGTGCGCAGCCGAGTGCCTTCTGTGTTTCAGTGGTGGGATTCTACTAANCATTTCTCCCTTATTGGGGTAGAGTGCGCAGCCGAGTGCCTTCTGTGTTTCAGTGGTGGGATTCTACTAATGCGATCCATCTCTGGGTTAGCTTCTATCGAGAACGGTTCTCGCCTTGACCTAAGCTATCAGGTTCCTCTCAAGCTTGTCGCCAGAAGTGTGCTTGTCTGTGCTGAGTTTGAACAACGCCAACGGTAGCCATGCGCAGCCTGCCAAACCTGTTGGACTCATTACAGGAAGTACGTTTGTCTCACATCGTGTTCGGAGCTTCGTGACAGGCGCTAGCAGTGCAGGCGAACTTGATCATCTCCACGAAGTCCCATTGCGGCAGAAATGCTGAGCGTTCAATCAGCTGTTTGTATGCAGCAGTCCGTTGCCGCGGATGCTTGTTCGCTGGTTTGGTATTGTGGTCCTGTTGGCATTTGATTCTACGTTCGCCGATGGCATCCGCCCTTCCCTGAAAAGAGTGGTAATCAGAAAGCTCCTTAACACTTTGGTGGTGCTTGTTGGAGGCTGACTTGTTTTTTCGTGGATGCGGCGGTCTTTCTGGAAGGACATAGTGTGGGAATACATGAAAAGAACTGCACTGGGTTGTTTGTATGTATTGCTAGTAATACTCTCCGATTGGAGGGATTTGGACATCGCAGTAAATGTTCCAGCTAGGTGCGCCGGTTGCGTTGATTGTTTGTAGGAAGTGCGTCTTAGTTGCTGGCATGATACGTAGTGTTGA